AACACACACACACTCTCTCTGTCCAGCATCCCTTGCTCTCAGCTTCAGATCAAACAATAACAACTGCTTCAGCCAAATCTGTTAAAATCAACTTCAAATTGATCACCTGTCTAAAAAAAAAGGACAAGGAAGGATGGGTGTAAAATTCTGTTGAAACAATAAAATCTGCTATAGCATCCTCTCTCTCACCACCTCCATTTTCATTCTTCAAGAGTCAGAGTGAAAACAGCAAGAGAAACACATTTTCCCAGGGTGTTAAATTTCTTTTTATATTATATTATATTATTTATTATATTAATAAAGATAGAAGCCTTCAAAGCTATCAGAATCATCAATGATTTGAATTCAGGTGTCACTGTGAAATGGTTTCCTTTTAAGCACCTGAATATTTCATTGCATTGTGGCTATTTCAAACATACCAAAATAAAGTGAACATCAATATATATAAACTAGACAATAAAGCTGGCACAGTCTACAAAATATCTAAGTTAACCATCTTAGAAGCAAAGGTTGGAGGATTTTGAAAGTGGGCACAAGTTGAAACTAGACATGAAATTGCTTTTTTTTCTCCCATCTGCATGTATGTGTTCTTTATGTGTGGGCATGTGTTATCCAATACAAGCGTGTCCTGGATTACACTAAAGCACTCGTCCCTCTCCACCCTTTCAATGCGAGATTAAGAGAATGTAATAATAGACAGTGCTTTTCAGTCATCTCCTCAGAAGACGGTTTATTTTTGTTTGTGTAAAACTGTCAGTGCTTTTGTGATGCAAGAAAAATGACATCCAATCTCAGCTCTTGTGGAACAGTACCTGAATGTCCAGGCAAACAATGTTTGCTGTGAATGAATCTAGAACCTCTTGTTAAAAGAAGACTCGTCATGAATATCTCTGGCTCTTCTCTACCCAGCATCACAATCTGTCCATCACAGCTCACTGAAACAAAACTCCAGAACGCCAGAATCTCAATAGCTCTGTTGATAAATTACTCTCAGTCAAAAATCCGATTCAACACTTGTTCGTATGGTTTCTCTGTCTAAACCACAAACCACTGTGCACACTCAACAGCAGTGGATCTGGTGGGTCGCAACAAAAAGATCTGTCGCAGGTCTGGTCTTCTGGAGTCAAGGTAAAAACATTGCTAAAAGCAAATAGTAAAATGCAAGCTGCTATATAATATAAAGCATAATTAGGATAGCAAAACAAATATACTTTTAAAAGTCAGGAGAAAATATACACTACTGTTCAGAAGTTTAGGGTCAGTAAGGTTTTTTTTTTGGAGGAAATTAATATTTTTATTCAGCAAGGATGCATTATATCATGTGACACTAAAGACGAGATAAATGGCTTCTTAAAATTCAGCTTTGCCATCACAGGAACAAATGACATTTTAAAATATATATATAAAAAAGGAAAACAGTTCATTTAAATTGTAATCATATTTCACAGTTTTACTGTTTCTGCTGTATTTTTGACAAAATAAATGCAGTCTTTGGTGAGCATAAGAGACTTTTTTTAAAACAATATCTGTAGTTGTTAACATCAAGGTTGTCTATAGAGATAAAATGAAACTTTACTGCTAATTAAGTATTAATAAATTTAAAAAGACTTTAATAGTATTTTTGTATTCCAGTTTTGGTACTGTGTTGGGAACCAATGGAAAACTTTCATTTTTAGGAGACTAAAGACATACAGAGTAACAAGGTCTGAGTATCCTTTAGCTCACATAAATGCTAAACAACTGCTGAGCGTCTTAACAATTTACCAACGGACCATCGTCTGACTCCAGCCAGCTGTGTTTGACTAGCAGCCGAAGGCCTGTCATTTATCACCAGACTCCGCCTCTTCTTATATCTTGTTAATATCATTTAATTTCCATCGCTCGGCCAGATGCGGACAGGCAGGGCTGTCCACCGGTGTCAGGTCCACGCAAACAGGGTGGATAAATGGAGTGCTTGAGTTCTGTGAGTGGAGGAAAGGGGAGAACGCAGTTCACGCTTCCACCTCCGACAGCTTGATGAATTGGGGCGGCAACAGGCAGAGCTAGACCCATAATTCAGCATGTTATAAATCCCGGATAAGGATGAAAGACTGCCACAAAAGACATTACCGTCCATTCCATCTAATGAGCCAGTACATCAGAGCCTGGAGCTCACCCACCGGCCCTCTCGCAAAACACTCCTTCACCCGTCTCTCATACAAAGACCATTCCTATTGTTAAATACCGGATCAATAGTCTAAATAATCTATTTCATCTCCCTGCTGATGTTACAAAACGAACTTTCAGTCTTTCGTCACCGAGACATACATCTCACGCTTGACAAGCCATCTGCGGATCGATACAGTGATAAGTTTAGCTCGACTCCCTCTTCAAACATCTCTGCCACAATTCTGCGTGCGAAAGATCATATTTTGAGCGCACAAAAGTGCATTTTGCACGCGCACGATCTGAGTTTTGTGGAGAAAATGTTCGTTTCGCAAAGAAAAAAGTATTTAGACGCACGAAAATCAATTTTGCATTTAAAATATGTTTTTGGATGTGTGCAGACCTTCTCTTTTGTGCGTGCAACGTTTCACTAGCTTGCTCCCTTGATGCCCGCCCTCAGTGCTCTCTAAATACCAACGGCTCGCTTGCTCAACACAACCCAGCGTTACAATATGCCATAATTCCAGCCAATCAGAGACGAGGCTGCTAAAATTGATTTTCGTGCGCTCTAAATTCTTTCTTCTTTGCGAGACAAACATTTTCTCCACAAAACTCAGTTCACGCGCATGCAAAACACACTTTTGCGCGCTCAAAATATGATCTTTCGCGCGCAGAATTGTGGCAGAGATGTAATCCCATAAACATCGGGCCTTCTCTGAATAAAGCAGATTGATGAGGTCTATGAACACAACGCCTCCCATGGTACAACCAGCCATTTGTGTGTATGTGCATTTCATTGTCACATTACTCGTCTCTGTAGACCTGAACTCAAGTCCAAATCCCCACTGGATTTGTGTCTCGTATTTTCACTACATAAAGTCCAACGTGAGGCTAGGGCTGGACGATATGGCCAAAATTGATATCACGGTATATTTCTTAATATCGGACGATACGATATAATTCCGATATCGATATGAACACTATTTATCTGAAATAGAATTTTTTTGTAACATTATAAATGCCTTTATCATCACTTTTGATCAATTTTAAGCATACTTGCTAAATAAAAGTATTAATTTCTATAATTTCTTTCCCATTAAAAAAAAAAAAAAAAACATTAAAAATCTTACTGTTCAAAAACTTTTGACTGGTAGTGTAGGCTGATTATTCTTATAGATTGAAACAAATGTGCTTAAGCCAGAAAAAAAAGGTATGAAAAGTGCTCAGAGTCGCTGCAGAAAACAAAAAATTGAACAACAACAAAAACTGGAAATGTTGCTGGAGACGGGCTTATTTAAAATGAAATCTCATTCTCTGCCAGCAGGAGGCGCTTTTAGAGTGATAAAACTAGCGGTTTTTCCAGTAATGGCTGTAATCAAAGCAGCTCCGCTCATGAATGCTACTTTATCAGATCAAATGAAAATGCCATCGAACCTTTTCTGAAGACACTCGGTTCCCTTCAGAGATACATTCATATAAAACACCCGCGCCGTGTTATGATTTTGAAACGTGCAGTGCTCATGTTTATTCAACGAAGTCAAACGCCACAAATAAATCAATGTATGGGAAACTGGTAATGTATATCGAAATATCGGAAATGTGTTTAAAAACCATATCACCGTTATTGAAAAAAATTATATCGCGATACATATTGATATTGAATTATTGTCCAGCCCTACGTGAGGCCTTTCAAAAAAGGCGTTTAAAAAAGACATTTTCATGTCATTCTCACCAGGGTTATTATAGTGAACTAAAACTAAAACCATCAAAAATTATTTACTTGAAATAGACATTAACTGAAAAAATATATATTATAAAAAAATTATTTCAGTTTGCCAAGGCAACATTCTCAATTTAACTGAGTTTAACTGTATGTATGTATTAAAATAACTAAAACTGATATAAAAAATTATAAAAACTATACAGACAAAACTACAAAAATATGCAGAAATGACTAAAACATGAACTTCATCATCTGAATGATGGAACCACTGATGCCAATAAAGAACCTTAATTTTTAAGGGTGATACTAAAATAACACTGGTTCTCATCGAAAGACATGGGTCGAATGTCCATATCAATGAAACATCCACAAACCAGATGCAAAGGAAGAGGAGAAAGATCAATATTAATCATTTCACAGTGTCGCTTTGAGGAGATGGGCAGTGGAATGACACATCGCTGGTGTTTTCCAGTATAGTACCAAAATTCTGGTGTTAAAATTTAAACAGCGCCAAAGCCCAGTCTGGCTGACCATAGTCTAAAATGTATTTTTGGAAAAGAAAGAAAGAACAAGAGGCAGAGAGACGAGTGTACTGCCTAGGGAAAATAATCTGACTTCAAAAACAGCAGCACTCAGAAAGAAACGCTTGGCTAAAGAAGAAAACACAGATATTACCAAGAGGCCTGATAATCAGTGGGATAATGAGCACTGAATTGCATTTACAGGGATCTTTTTGCAGCACTGAAATGTACGGCACTGTTCTGATTAACGAATGCAGCTCCATGGGAGAAGACACAGTACATGTACATATTAAAAGTATAGCAGGCCAAGCAAGACATGCATTCATTGAACAGATTCTCTGGCCCTGATTTACTAAGATCGCAAATAAAGGGTGTAAATTTGCTTGTGGAATCTGATATACTGCAACATGCTACATGGGTGTAGTGTGGGTGATTAACTAACAAGAACTGTATGCATAGGTCAGACATGTCCATATTTAAAGTAAAACTCAAAAGAACATTGAAGAAGTATTGAAGAGCTTGCATATGTGAATGAGGGGAGTGAGGGAAAGAACACTTTTAGATCAGCATTCACACTGCACAGTGACATAGAGAGAATAGAAAATGCTAACCACTTTGTCCTCCTTCTTCTCCAGCGTCACAGAGAGAAACAGGATGGTGGGTGGTGGAGAAGAACAAGAGAGAAGTATGAAATGACAATCAGATATGAAAACAAAAAACATTTAGATGCATACTAGAATAATAAACACAAAAACAGCTTTACACTTACACATTAGCAGCATCAAAATGTGTCAGCTGCATTTTCCAGTTGCAAAACAGTAATGTCTTGGAATGTTTTACATTATATATTGTGGATTTATTCACTTTTTCCTTGCTATTATTTCATGACAGAACTGTGTGGTAGTGTAAATTTGCAGGTATGTTGCCACCCACAGGGCAAACCTGAGAGGTGCAGGTTGCACTAATATTTACTCTAAGATTTCCCATTAAAAATTCCCAGTGGAAATAAAGGTAGTGCATGGGTCACTGAAAACGACATGACATTCCGCGTAGTAGGTCCTACTGCTTCAGATCCACCATAGTAAGAATACTCATAGACACTACTGCTACTGTATAACTACAAAACACCTGCACACTGATAAATAAATCCACACTAAAGGCAGGTGTAAAGACTGTACCATTTTTCATTCCTTTATATAATTAAATATTCATACAGTGAACATGAAGATGAGGTCATTTTGATAGAATGTTCACAATATAGCTAAATGTCTCTTCCTGTCTCTCTATATGGAATCTTCATTAAATGGCAGCCCAACACTAATGAAGTTAATGACGAATCCATCACACTGCAGGACACGTAATTTTGGACACTTATCCATTGGAGGCTCAGCATACACATCAACTGGTATGGAGGAAGAGGATTGTTTAAGTTCAAATTTCATGCAAATTAGGGGTAAAAAAAAAACAATGTTGCATGATGTCGTGTTTAATTGCGGTTTCAATTGTGGCTAGTTTGTGGCTGGGAGTTTATTACATGTCTTTAAAATATACTTTGGGTATTTGGAAATAAACTTAGCATTTTTACAACTATAACCGTGCATTCACTACCATTTGAAAGTCTCTTATCCTTACCAAGGCTATATGTGACCCTGGACCACAAAACCAGTCATAAGGGTAAATTTTTCGAAATTGAGATTTATACATCATCTGAAAGCCGAATAAATAAGCTTTCCATTGATGTATGGTTTGTTAGGATAGATACAACTATTTGAATCTGAGGGTGCAAAAAAATCAAAATATTGAGAAAATCGCCTTTAAAGTTGTCCAAATGAAGTTCTTAGCAATGCATATTACTAATCAAAAATTAAGTTTTGATATATTTACAGTAGGAATTTTACAAAATATCTTCATGGAACATGATCTTTAATTAATGTCCTAATGATTTTTGGCATAAAAGAAAAATCAATAATTTTGACCCATACAATGTATTTTTGGCTATTGCTACAAATATACCCCAGCGACTTAAGATTGGCAGGGTCACATATATATTTCATCAAAAATAAAGTAAAATTAGTAATATTGTGGAATATTATTACAAATTAAAATAAGTTTTCTGTTTAAATATATTTAAAAATGTATTCCTGTGATGACAAAGTCACAATATCCTTCCGAAATCATTCTTATATTCTGATTTGGTGCTCATGAAACATTTCTTATTATTGTCAATGTTAAAAACAGTTGTGCTGCTTAATATTTTGTGGAAACCATGATACATTTTTTCAGGATTCTTTGATGAACAGAAAATTCAAAAGAGCGGCATTTATTTGATTTTTTTTTCATAATAATGTAAAAGGTTTTACTGTCACTGATGAATTTAATGCATTTAATAAAAAATTTAAAAAGTATTTAAAAATCTTAGTGATCCCAAACTTGTGAACAGTAGTGTGTAATGACTTTACTGACTGTGTAATGACTGTGCAATCCAGGACTGCCAGTGCCAACGATTTTCGTAACAGGTTTATTGAACTTTTTTGAGTCTATTCACTCTGGACCAGCTCAGGCTACTCATAGCAATGGAGCTATTAAGTGTATTTCATCGCTTTTAGCTACCGTTTCCAGTCCACCAGATTAAGCAGGTGTAGCTCTCTATGTTTAACCTACAGGCATCTAGCGACTCCATTATCAAGACTGCTCAGTAATAGCACATGCCAAAGAGCTCAGTGAAACAACATGCGCTCATTTCAGCGAAACTAACCTCAGGGCAGCACCCATCCGCTACCAACGGAGACTTCACTTCCATGGTATCACATATGGGATTTCTGCTACCTCCTCAGACACAGACAAGAGCACCTGAACACCTTTCCACACTCAACACTGGGCCTATCTGAGCTTTCTCACATCCACTAAACCAAAATTAAACCTCATGAAGTGCCAAATGTAAGTAAAAATCAGATTTGGGAGTTACATCAGGAGTTAAATTTCAATACAAAAGCAACAAACAGACCCTAGCTGACACAAATTAAATTATCTCCTCAGTGGAAAATGCACTTATTAGTAATATGTAATGTAATGAAATAAAAATTCTGGCTGATACCAATAAGCAGATACTTGTTTTAAGCCAATAACCAATAAATTGTAGATACATAAGAATTCTACATTATTTTGTCTAAATAAATGAAAAATTAAACACTTCTATAATTAACTATAATTAAGCATTTTAATGTTCCAACTAAATTTAGGTATCACAACATTATAATGTGCAATTAAAAATATGGTCAATTCAGTATAATGGACAGAATAGTTGCCCAATTTACCCGAGTTCACACTAGATATTAATTTTGACGTGCTAAAGACTTTATTTAACAGTTTTATTAAATTATTAGCATTTTTCAAGATTATGCGAGCAGTTGGATGACGACAGAAGTAATTTAAGTGAAAAATAGGGGAAATGAGCATGTACAATTAAATATTCAATTTCGAAAACTACCAATAAACTATAACATTTCTAATATTGATAACCGATATTGTGTATACCTAATTTAAAAAATAAATAAATAACATTAATATTATTTATAAGTCACTGTATGGCTAAAAATGATATATCATTCATTTTTCATACGCAAAATAATAAATACTTTTTATTCATTTATTAAAAAAAAAAATACAAAAGAAAATGCCTGGTAGGAAATATTGACCACCAATAAAATTTCTCAATTCCCTTTTTCAACTTCACTTGTGTTTGTGTAGACAATAGTTACCCCACAAATGGCCAGGCTTCATTGTGTAGCTATAAAAAATGTACATATTTACTGCAAATGTCCAGATGGATACATCCATAACTAAATCAGTTATTAATTACATTTAGCCTTATCTCCACCTCACTGACCTCACTCCCTACTCTACTACCTCTGTAGGTAGTAGATGCTCTCCTGTTGAGTCCCTACACTTCACTCATTATGAGTGAACACTAATTAGCGCTCCGGACTCAGTGGAAGGAATAGAAAGCGAAGGTAAATATCACACTCCAGGAGGTGGGCCACCATTTCAGGTGCTTCCCTTTGTGTGGTACGGCTGCCCCCGTGGAGACTCAGTGCTGACTTGGGCATCCCAGCATGGGTGTGCGGCGACCCCCCCAGTGACCAGCAGCATCATCTCCTCTGACTAACGCCCAATTAACCTTTCTCTCATCCACCCAGTGCTCTTCTCTCCCTTCTCCTGCTTAAATGTGTGCAGATGCAGGTCGAGGAAGCATGAAAAACAGTCTGGCCACTCACACGATGTAGGTGGTACTCACGTTACTGGAACACAGAGAGACCCTTCCCCCGCACCGGGCACAGAACTTAGTCTGGCAGTAGGAGCACAGGTTTCCGCAGCCATCAGCAAACTTGGTCTTGTGGCAGATGCCACAGGTGGGGGCGTCATCCTTGTGTTGGCCCTGCTGCCTCTGTTGGGGGGGCTCCGGCCCAATTCGCCTCACCTGCTCCTTGTAGTTGGCAAACTGCTGGTGCAACCTGTGAGGAGAGAAGAGATGGAGAAAAAGAAAGGGGACATGAAAAACTCTGATTCAAATTCTAGTAGCCAATGTAACATTTTTACCAAATATATATATATATATATATATATATATATACAGCCCTGACTGACCATGTCCACATGGCGAAATACCAACTCCAACTTTAAGGTATGTGTTTACTAGGAATGTACGTAGTAAGCGCTTAGTTCTTCTGAAGCTAATGAAGTAATTGAAGACAATATCATGATATTTCAAAAGATAGAGATACAAAAAAGTATGGTGAAACATCTATACTGTGTCACAAACTGCATGTAAATGGAAACTACACCACCAAAACCACATTTCCTTTTTCCCACTCCAGCTCTCTCTCAATCTTTCTTTCAGTCTAATGTTCTTTCCACCATGTAGGGTCATCTCAGACATTCACAAGAATAATGCTTAAAGACTGCATGAATGCCTTCCAAAAGAGTTAATCCAAACAAAACAGTGACTAATAAACAAAATTAAGATCTTTCTTCACTGACATGACACGCATACAACACATATCCAGCATTTTCCCTGTCTAAACAGCACTGAGGTCTCAAGCATGAATCTATCCAGAGCTTTACTTACGCTAAAGGGGTCTTCCTCACAGACTCCTCCGCCATGACGATATCATATGACGTATATTAAAATAAGGAACCTACATAGAGAGTTAAAAGAATACGCTACCTACGGAATGTAATGAATGCGCGGCCATCCATGCAGAGTGTGCTCCAGAGAAGGACAACGAGATGATCTGAACACCTGCCCCCCAGTTCTAACCCCGGTCTCCCTCCCCCTGTGCACCCCTACCGCTCTCCTGTTCCTCAACTCCGTCACCAGTGAACATCCTGTGGGTCAAAGATAAACATAAAGGACAAGCTCCAACACAGGAGCAACAAGGTGACTGCAAGATGTTCCAATTAGAAAACTAAATCAGTTGCTTTTTCACAGCCAGTGAGACTCAAGAGTTCAATACAATGTAATACAAGACATTTATTAGAAGTGCAGTTTGAATTTGGGAATACAGAATGAAACAGCAAACGCCAACGTTGTGCATAACTTTTTTTGTATTAAAAGAAGAAATATACAATTACATAATATACAAAAAGTGCAAGAACAAAGAACTATCTAAAAATTTCTATAATTAAATTACAAATATGTCAAATTAATACAGCTATCATTTAAGGTTGTAATATTCACCTTAACTGAGATACTGTCAGATATTTGTAATTTATTTGAATAATATTATATTAATATTTTATCAGGTTTAGCTAGATTATCACTTAAGAATGCAATTTGTCTCAGATGCCTCTTCTAAAATATTAATCCCTCCATCCATCCATCCATTTATCTCAAGGGATATTTTTTAATGGCATGATCAAAAAAAAAATAGATACAAAAAATAGACAAATAACAGGTGTCTAACAATATTTCAATAAAAACTATATACAATTACTCAATTTCATGTGCCTAAACTAGAAGAAATAAAGAGAGACACAACATTTGACAAGAAATGTTTGAATTTATACTGAAACTTCTGATTTTTGATTATAGACTAATGGCAAAAAGCACAGTTTGATACAACATTGAGGTCTCTTCTGAAGCTCTAAAATTTCTCATTGCTGGTTAGAGAAACAAATGAGATATTAAAGAGGTTTTGTTTGTCATTTTTCTTTGTTAAAGGTACAGTATAACTGGAAAAAGCCATTATAATTCCAAAAGGCTTGAAACAGGATGCAAATTGCAATCATAGGATGCAAAAGCAGGATTGGAGGATTGCACTCTTCTCATCTCAATATTAAGATGCAACATTCACCTTTCAAACTTTCAGAACACAATGACCTTTAGTTACAGTAGCTATAATGAACAATGGAGCACAAAGTCAACGCTGAGATGAAATTGAGCAGCACTAGACGACAAAAACCTTTCAGCACTTTATGAAAAACATGAGAAACAGAGACAAACATTGAGCTTGGCACTGTAAAAGAACATATGAAAGTGCTTTGTGCTCTGAGCAGGAAATGATATTCAAGAAAGCAGCCCAGGCTTGCCATAATTGAGACAGCACATAAAACAAAGACCCATAAGTGAAGCACAAGGTTATACGAAAGTGAAGCACAGCTTTACTTTGCTAGCACAAACCCCTCTTCCCCATCACAAATCATTTGCTTCTTTCTCTCTCTCTCTTCCTCTCATCCAGGAATAGAAGTAAACCTTGTGTGAAATGCAAATCAGGCACAGAGCCTGCAAGAAACGGTGAGCAATTCACACAGGTCTCCGGCAGTAGCATAGAACTTGGTGTAATTAAGGTATGAGGAAGCTCTAATTAACGTGGTAAAGTGTGGGGACACGGAGGAGAGCCGGTGTGGAGATGCGTGAGGTGGGACGTGTTTTTATGCCGTTCTCCCCTACTTCATGACAGCTGGTCTCAGTGGCTGCTGATGTCATCGGGTGAGCACATGGAAACGTCCATGATTAAACAGCTGTCAGCAGTCGCTCGTACTAACACACACCATGACAGGAGCCACAACTGTAACTCATTGGCTGTGCGCAGCGTTCCTGCGGAGGCTTTGGTGGGGCCTACACGCTGGCCCATTTATCATGTCCCCTAGGCCCCACGGCTCCCTACATGGGCATAAATCCACCCTATCTGTGCCAGGATGTTGTATGAAAGGACAGACAAGGGACAGAGATGTAGTGAAAGAACTGCTGAGGTTGAGTCAGTGTAAATTCAACATCATTCACAGCGAATGCCGGGACAAACGTGCGTTTATGAGGGAACAGCGCACGTTGGCAACCTGTGATGGAGCCATAAATGAAGCTCACAGACACTAGCAGCTCCATTCATCCTCTAACACAAGAGGACAAATCTGAACACCACTCACAGGACATTTGTGCTGTGTTCAACAGGAAAAACAGCTTGAATACACTAAATAAACATGTCAATAAAGAAGTTGACATTTTATATATACAGTCATGGCCAAAAGGTTTGGCAGAGTTTGCTGCTTAAGCTGTTGTGGTGTTCATTCACATTGTTTCTAGATTATTGTGTAGAGTGATCAGATGCATTTTAAATAATTGCTAAAAGCTTCATTGGCCAAAAAATTAACTTTT